CAGGCATTTTCTAAGATCATTTATCTTTCATAGCCTATATGGTGATTTTTCCAAATTTATCAATTATTGCTACTGGCTGTTGATTATCTGCATAGTATAGGATCAGCATTTAGCATTGATAAAATTAGATGTATAATTTGGCTTAAGATAAAATTGAGTTTACTTGTATAAACCAAAGCACCTTTAACCAATATGTTATATAATTGTTATGTTGATTTGTGTACGCTTCAGAAGTTCTGCATCAATTGAGCTCAAAATTTGACACGGTAAAGAACACGGTTCAAAGATACTTTTTATCTATTATAATTTTTATCTATTATTTCAACCACAAAGTGCCACAGTAAAGCGTGGCAAGATACAGCCAGTTATCATATAAAAAAAAAACACTGAAACTGAAATGATTCATGGATAATGTAAGATGCTTGTAATAATACTTTAAATAGTTTGTGCCATTTTCAGAAGGCTGTTGAGGTACAGAATGCACAATACAGTATATTTTTTACATCATACCATAATTTTAGAATACATAATCATAAAGAAAAATGTTGCGGTTCATTTATCTTTCTCACTTTTCTTAAAAGCAGAGGGATAGAGAGCCGATATTAATTTTATCTTTTTATTTTATAATAAACTAAATCACAAAGTTTCATTTATATCGGTTTACCAGTTAAAACATATGTATATTATAAATAAGTAATAGAATAACGCTATAACTAATGACAAGCATTAATACAATTTGTTTAGATGTAAATGTCGGTGCGAAATCCAAACATTATCAAGCGACAATGTTACGTACAAATTTGCGTGACTTCAATAAATGTTTAGAGTTAGAATAATAATTTGTGTTTAGATACTCGTTTGTTTTCTAAAACGGTACTATGAGTGCGATTGTTTGAATCACATGACCGACACAATTCTAACACGTAGGCTTTTGTAAGGGACCTTGCTAAGAAATATACATACGGTTCTGCGATGAGAATTAATCAGTTTATACACAATAATTAGGCAATAAACCTTGTTTCTACTCGAAATAATTTGAGGTTTGACCGTTCTGTTTTTTTTAATACGCTATAATACAGTTCTTATCGTGTGGAGCTGGTGAATTCAAATATTGTGCTTTAAAATGAAATATGTTTGTCTGTGGGTGTCTACAGGATTGGCAATGCAAGGGACGAAGGCTATGCGAAATCCGAATTACCGGTTACGCTCGCCACTTATCATATATGAGGGAGCTTGTTTGTCACGCTAGTTCTCTTAATCGATTTGTAGAAACACATATGTATTATCACGTTTACGTTTTCACGTTATATAAATTCCACCTTAGTACATAGGGCTAGCGAATGTTTCTTCTGTAGATCTCTTGTTTAATTTCTACTATTTTATTTTAGGCTACTAATAATGCTCCAGTTGGTTTAAAGACTTTTGTATTAGAAACTGTGCTCTTTTATTTTCGATTTTACATCATCTGTTTCATGGACCAATACGTGTCTCCTTGATTCGTCACAACAAAAGCCTAATTTTAGAAAACTTGTTCAAGAGATTTGCGAAATACTATTGTATCGCAAATAATGAACGTTGCGACATATATCAATTTATTAGAGAAAATGCTGCTTGCAGCGGCAAATATAGTAATGAAATACGTGCGCCTGCGCAGGCTCTACTTATAGATATACAGACAAATATTTTATTTACCATTTACCAAACTATAGCTTGCTTACCAACCGACTAAACCTGAGCAGGTTAATAACTGTTCAATCCCATGGTATCAATCTTTAGGTTTAAAACAAACTTAATATTCAAATGCCACGTAGTGTCACAATTTCAAAACACTCAGTGAAGACAAAATTGTCATCAAACTCTTCAATATGATATATATTTTTTTATTCCATTGTCTACAATAGAAATAATAAAATTTATACTCATATTGTGATAAGTAACAAGAAAACGTGTATTTACATTTACTCTGTTTTGCGTAAAACATTAAGAAATATTATATCTGTGTTATAATCTGTGCTTGGAATTATATTTAGATTCCTATTTCCAGATAAAACGTTTTACGAGTCTAACCTGCAACTAAGTTTGTTTTATTCTCAGATTGTTCGTTTTGCCACTATAGGTTTTCTTAAATATGTAATGGGATCTCGTCTGGATTAGACAGTAGGTACTAGACTGGATTTGCAAAAGTGTTTGATTCGAGTCATTCAAGACAAGGCAAGGCATTCGAGGCAATTCATTCGTATTCAATTTCTTGTCTATGAATGGCCTTCTTCATTTCTACTACAATTACAAGAAACTACACTAGATTTTCGTAACAAAATATGTAGGTTACCAATAAAAAGAGAGATAGACTGAGAAGTAAGTGTGGGATATAAGACAGTGTGTAGAAATCTTTTAAGTGAGCTTGTACTATTTTGTTCTATTTCTTGAACTCATTAATATTGAACAGAAATATTTCTAGTTAATTATGGGTGTGCCTGTTTTAAAGCAATCGCAAACGCAACATTAGCGTTATCTTGTGGTTTATTTAAATTTTATTAATCTCTGTATTTCCGGACCGATACGACCTTCAAACCGTCAAGAAAAGAGCGTACTCCTTCCTAAAAGGCCGGCAACACGTTTGTGACTCCTGAGGGCGTGGCGTTTATGGGTGGCGATGGTCACTTTCCATCAGGACCCGTCTGCTCGTCTGCTCCCTCTAACATAAAAAAAAAAATAATAATTTCAAAGTCTTAAGGTGAAACATATCGTATTTATATCTACAGGTTTTGATTGAATTATATGAGATATGATAAGAGGTCATTGATAAAAAAAAAGACAGGATATTCTGTTTCACCTCATTCTCCGATTCACAAAACAAAACCTTTTACATATAATATTAATAAAATTCATAAAATATAAACTTTGTAATAAGGCTCTGTGAATACACAAGCATATTGTCTTAACCATCATTTTAAGACCCATTACACTTTCTAACAGCAAATTGTGAGAAGTATTGTATAACTTATAGTACACAATTATCGCCATAGTTTTATCGTTAGCTGTTTCATCAACACTTGGTACCAGTTACTAAACTTCCTACAACGCGTCGGTTTAAAACTTACTGTTGCTTCACTTATAACTACGAATGTTTAAGATATTACTGGATAGAAGCGAAACTCTCTAAGGGCCGGTAGTTTATAATAGACTCTAGTGGCGAAGGCGGGCGTTTCCACTACCGGTACCGTTTACAAACTGTTGTACAAAAAGCATGAATTATGTAATTATGCCATTGCGTTATTACTAATTAAAAATAACTCCAAGTAATACTGTTGCTTATATTAACTGTAGTGTGGTTGTATACTGGTTTACATTCCTATACTATCTATGCATCAATTTGGGCTATCTAATACTAACAGAAGTTTATAATTCAGACCCGGGCCGTGGTTTCTGAGATTAGAGGGTGCCAACAAACAAACTCTTCAGCTTTATAATATTACTATTATATTATTCATATATTGCTGATATTCAGATACCCATTACTAACAACATACTAAATATACGAGTTAGAGGGTAACAAGTCCGTAACGACAACCAATACGAGTAACAGATATGCGCCTCTGATCTGCTGGAGTTCGAGCCTCAAATTACCTACTCTTTCTAGCTATTTATGGTTCGTAATATACTCCTAATTTTCTCATCTTTAATTGAACGAGGCTGACGGTAATGCATGCTCCGTTTTATGCAAGTGGGGATAAATTTATACTGCGCCGAAATTTGGGTGCTTAAAATTTCTTTACACCGCATTGTCCACACAGGTTGTGTCAAATACGATACTGCGCAAGAGCTAATAATGTAATAAGATTTTAACACTTTTGTGATAGGCCATTATAGTGTCAGGGATAATGTGACAACAAAACCTGAGAATATTAAGCCAATTATTATCATTCCATATATCCATATGCGGAAAAATAATAATTTCTTACTGTAATATCTTATCTTCAAGATCAGACAGTCAGTGAAGTTCTAAGATACATAGACCTAATTATTATCTTAAAAGAAGGTCAACATACCGGATGTTCAAACCAACATACGGAACTACATACCGATGACAACACTATGTTTTAAAACGATTAATCAAGTCTAACACTGAAAGGCTACAAACCGGTAACAAAATTTGTCGCAATATTGTAAGTGTATTGAACTAATTACCATATTGAATTCAGAAAGCATTTACAACCTTCCTTAAAACGTAACAGGCAGGTTGCGTAGGACCATGCAGACGGGCGACTAACTGGTCCCTAGTATGCGCCACTAGGTCGTTGCGAAAACTATCTCGGTCTAGATAAATTGTTTTAAGATATGGAAGCAATCGATTTATGCATAATAAATTTTCTATTAAGTTGTTTAAAAGCAAAGGTTTATTGTTAGATATGTTTAAAGTAAGACCATTATGGATATCCAGTTTCCTAAATTATACAGTGTATTTCATCAACGAACGGAAAAGAATGTTATAGTGGTATTGATGTGAATGTGTGTGAAGTAGAATAAAATTTGACCCAAAAAGTTAGACCTTACAAATTTAAATGTATTCACATGATATGCATTGATTTCCGTGCAATTGTAGCGTAGAATATTAAAAAAAAAATAGTTATCTATAAGTAAACAAGCAATATTGCACTATAAAGAAGCATAACTATTGAAGTTGACAAACGTTATTGTAGCCGGTCTATTCCTTAACCACGTGCACTCGTATCAGCTGTGCAGAGTTCACACACGCCCACCGTCTCACTGAGGTCACATATCAAGTTCACATACCTGTTTTGTATCTAAACCTGTTACTGTATGACTGTATATTTCGTTTACGTAACCATTTAAGTTACGTTTCCGTGATATACTTGTCAATTATAATTTACGAAATTATTAAATAGTTGTTTTTAGTTTGAAGGGAACAGTGAGGAATACTTTAAGAGTTCCTTCTTTTTCTTAAAAAAAACTGAACTCTGAAAAATGCTCTATAAGCAATGGTTAGTGTAGGTATAAAAGTCTTATGTACTTGCATCATATTGTCTAATATGGACATGCATTCTTCTCAGAAAATAACGGCTCTTTTAGAATTTATTTAATTAGTAATTCTTAATTAATCGCTTACTTTGAGTGAGAGATAGTCGGAACAGCATTGTTGTTTTTCCGAAATAAAACCATTAGGTATTATTATTTAATCTTAATTTAAAATCACGGACCAGCATGATGGGATATCGATTTAATACATGCTTAAATTATGAAAGGTTTACTTAATGGACACTTCTTAATCTGGCTGACATGAATGTGAGTAGTATCTGTGCCAGAATCTTAAGAGAATGTTGCTTGATTATGTGAATATACAAATATTTAGTAGGTCTAGATAAATTCATAATAACTGGTACACATATTTATACAGTGATTTAGTTGTCTGTGTCCTGCTAACTGCAGATATAGTGTCTGCTCATTTGTCTAGAAACAGCTAAAAATATATTTTTACAGTTATTGTGCTTATGAAATTCTTTCCAAATAATATGTATTTCGTCAAACTGACGTTCCGTTTAGTAACGTACACAATGTCATTGAAAACAAATGGTTGGTTTGCCTAATACAGTACTAAATAAAATAAGAATTTATTTTAAGTTTTTTTGTTTATGCTTAAACCACAGCATCTCAATCCATGTTGGCACAGTTACTAAAAATATTTATTGTTTAGACTCTAGTTGTGTAATTAAAAAAATAGATACAAGGATCCTTCTCCGTGGCGGATGTATTTTAAGATGAAGTTCTTAAATAAAAATAAATATGGATGATATCATTTCTAAAGGCGAAACTCATATTATTGCACATACAAATAAATAAATTGAAGTTTCGAAACCATACCACGGAAGACCTATCGCGACCTACCTGAGGCGATTGATAGATTGATGTGATTAAATAAATTATATATCATGTTAGTGTGTACGTGTTACTTAATTGTTATAATGTTCGATTAAAAGGTTCTTTGTTCGTTTGATAAATATGGCGAATTTGGGTCATATGTATGGAACATATAGACGTATAGTCAAACGATACAATCTAATTATTGATTTGACTTTTGACCAATGTTTTGTACATATTGCAATATATTTAGATGTGTTAATACGTGAGTTGAAGTTATTCTATCGTAAAAAATAATCTCAATCGTACGATGAAGCTGCAAATATCAATACTGTGACCTTAATAAGTCGTGACTGGTCAGAGAAATGTATCAAGTTGTAATGTAGCAATCCTGGAAATCAACGATTTGATTTATTTTAAATTTGTTAAATTACAGTATAAGAATCTTGAGTACAGTATTATAAGTTTTGTATTTTTGCTTTAATTAATACACGAAGTATTTTTTATACATAGTTATACGAGATCAATATAATGTGTACATATACATAAACTGTAGATTAAGTTAAGAACACGATATACATGAAACTCTACTTTGTTTGAGCCGGCATGTTTTTGTCCATGGAATGCAGGGTCATTCCTAGGATTCTAAGTGGATTCCTTGATGAATCATCAATATTATTCAGAAGTTATTTTAAATCTGTGACGTCCTAATATTTTTAAAATAAGAAGTATTTATATGACACCAATATGGTGCTTTATATCTACACATGAGTCCTTAATTGATTACTAAGTCATGGTCATATTTTATATGCAGAATAATCAATAACTTAAAATATAAACCCGTCAATATCTTTAACAGAATCAGTTGATTCGATGTCGACATTGAACAAGTGTATTTGATATTTTCGCGTTCTGATGATGTTTTTTGCAAATAGTATCCATATTTCTAATTTTTTACATGCTTTTATTAGCTTGGTGTGTATGTATGTAACGGAATCTTCGAACGTGATTTTGACACACTTCAAAATGTCGAATTAAATTGAAACTTTGCACACTTATCAAGGACCAATGATAATGTAATAACTTAAATAATTTGTCTAATTATCCTGATCACGACCTTCAGTCCTCCATCGCTATAAAATACGGTACCTTGTGTCTTTTGCTACGTACTAAGCGGTGTGTGTTACTTTTTTAGTCTTAATGAGAAAATAATCAATATTGATGACTAATAAAGGAAAAATAAATTTTAGGTCAAGAAACTAAAAAATACGCTTCTGTAGCTACCCGAATTAAAAAGTGGGAAATACTTTTCTATGAGTTCAAAAAGAAAAAGCATTTTGTTGTAAAACAGCGTGGGATGCTAGATCTCAATTGTTGTAAAAATGTTTTACTCACAGATATTTGTAAAAGTAAACTTATTATATTATAAAATACCTTAAAAAGCACCCCAGAAAATTATTTCCTACTTTTTAGTGCGGTTAGCTACAAAAGCGAGTATTTTTAGTTTTTTTAAACTAAAATTAATTGTGCTTAGTATCTGATATTGGCAAACAAAGATATCGTTTTATTTTTCTTGAAATTTTAAAGTTAAAAATATTTTTTTTTGTCCACAGGCCTTAGTCTTGTGTGCGTGTGTGGCGCTCACATCAGCACAATTTGGACATTTCGGCATTCACTTTTCGGACTTCGGTGCTAGCTTCGGAGCACCGAGCTTTCCCGGATATTCGGGCTTTTCCGGATATTCAGGTTTATCAGCAGCTGCTGGCAGAGATCCTAGGGCGAACACCGGTTAGTTATAAAACTTTACAATAATAATTATTGACGAAATCTGTAAGTATATTCCTCTAACCCCACCTGGGTTACAGGAATGTATCTTCAAACTAATAAGTAAATGATTTTGTTTTATATGCAATCTGTACTGCACATCACAGTGATGCCACTTAAGGCACATGCACATCATCATTGTCATCATCATCATCGTCTCCCTGTCGTTTTTCAATTATATTTAGAGTCACCGCAATTCATGACATTGCAAAAGGGCTTAGGATATTTTCTTTTATGGGCGGCTGTCGAACTGCCACCAACCCTATTTGGGAATGTTATCGTATCCAAGGAGGACACAGAAAGAAGATACGTTATGGTAGGGAAAACAGGGGCAGGATAAGGGATGCCGCAAGTCTTGGATGGGTACGGGACTAGACTGTATTTGCTCGAAAAGGAACGAGGGTCAGTCATTCCCCCCACGTTTGTCCTAAGTTTGGAAAGGATGCTAGGATGGGGACACCACTTTATTTAGGCACATACATATATGTGCTAATGTGTAAAACCTGTCCATTACTGTTTTTGTAAACTGTCGTCAAACGGTAAGTCGGCTATTGATTTAGTAAGAACACGATATTGGTAGCAAAATGTAGCACGCACCAATGTCCTGATCAGCCCCTGTAGAACGGGAGCCCCGCATAAACAAGCTTTGCATATATGACCAAGTAGCCTTTTCATATATTGCGAGAAAAACCGGTATTCCCCTAACATACCCCAATTTTTAACATTGATTATAATAATTAAAATATTGTGATACAGGTTCTATAAAAATATTTGAATATTCGACATTTATTGTTAGTATTAGTAGTATTCAATAATTCAGCGTCCGTGTGGTGACGGATTAAGAATACAGAGTGCCACCACCCCTATTCATCCCGTGGGTGCTGTAAGAGCCTATTAAGGGAAGTACTGCAAAGAGAAGGGAAACTTGAAACAAACCCGACACCAACCCGTCGGGCGAGCATGGTATAAGCCAATGCCCCGCAGTGGAATATTAGAGGCTGTTCATGATGATGATAACAAACAATTCAAACTGACTACCCAAGAGACCTATTAATAACCAAGCATTATGTGTGACAAGTGCAATAATTAATTATAAAATTATTTCACAACCATTATAAAATACAAAGTTATGATAATAGCCAAGTAACCTTTAAAGTAGTTTAAAATGCTGTTAAATATGTCAACGGTGAGCTCGTTTATTACAATGTCATACATAACGATTACCCTAATGTATAATTGTGTTTTAAGACATAAATACCACAGTTTCAAGGTCATGAGAAGAACAATTGTTGGTTGATGCTTATCAAAATGTTGCAAAATGTCTCTCCAGTACCGTAACGACTGCATACTAACCTGACTTTTTTGTGAAATATTTGACAAAATAGAAACAATAATAATGGATTAAAGAAACAATAATAAAAAAGATTTAATACCACTCATATTATAGTTACAAATTACTGTTAGAGTGTGCGAGTATGTTTAAGTTAGTTGAGATTTCATCCGGATTTGTATGAAAATTGCACCTATAGTTTGGTTTCCTGGATTACTCTACGAGTCTACGTTAGAACACGGAGATTTACACCAGTTCAATTCGAGTGGCAGTTTTAAATTTTTATGTTATTTAATACGTGTAGTTGGAATGATAGTGAATACACGATTGGGATTGTTGCTATTAATGAGTCGTTCCTTTTCTGTAATACAGTTATTTACATCAGAAGCGACATTACTGTGTTAGATACATTTCACCTCTTTTCACAATTTTCTTTAAGTACCTAATTAGCTGCTGACATTAGCTGCTGAATTAGATTGATTATTGAGGTATTCAAGCGAGCAACGCTTTATCTCTTTCTAGATTAATCCAATCATTTATCTGGTCAAAACATTTCACAAGGTTGGTCAAAAATGGACAGTTGATAAGTCACTCGGCCATGTCGCAGAATTGTATCTTTGCATTTGAATGTTACCAAAAGTTCTTATGCGTACGAACAGTGAGAATGTGTAGAACAGTTGATTGTCATCGGTTTTATAATTGTGTTCCTTTTGTGTATGAGGTTTCGTAAGCAAAACCTTTAATGCCAACCCAGTTAAGTAAGGGGTAATATATACAGGGATGTTTTAATTACATAAGTTAATGAAAACACAGTTAACATCAATTATTTTCGACTGCACGGATGTCGTAGTGGTTTGATAATTTTGTTACTCGTAATATGGTCGCATACATATAACTCGAATTATTTGTTGTCGGGAAGTTTTAACTCTCAAACAACAAAATAAATACCATGAACGCTACTACGTATAGCTACACAATATTGTATTCATAGATTGAAAAATATATCTTTTATCATGTTTCATAATGTGATTACGAAGTTAACTACTTTCAAGAACATGTGTTCTTGAAAGTAGTATAATTTGAACGTACTACTTATAATATTTAATTATTTATCCATGTACTTATATGCTCTAACTTAACATTGATTAATGAATTTATCTCATATCTTGGACAAAGAGATATTATTAGCGTGCTTGATTATTACTGTATAACATGAATTAGGAAAACAAAGTAAGAGATTGGGCTCTGGTCCGAAAGTTGCTCAATAGTTTTTTTTCTATTTTGTTAATTAATAATGTTTTCATTTTTATTTTGAATAACGTATTGAGTATCGTAATGTCTATACAATTGATACAAAAGAGAACAAAATTTCATTGCGGAATGTTGGTATGTTTATATAACGCACGGCTATATGGAAATTAAACACAATTAATTCTGTGATTTTCTATGTTGAACAAACGACTTTGTACTATTTGCATTTTGTTGTGTAAGCGATTTCAATTTTACTCTTTAGTAATCATCTATGATTAAATAGGGGGCAAGAGGGTGGCTAAGTTAAATTAAATAATTAAATCAATTTAAATTTAAATTGAACTGGGTTCTTGAAACGGATTTAATAATAATAATAACCTTACACATCTCATATACGGCCGTCTGATCCCAAACTAGGCAGGGCCTGTGCTGTGGTAACCAGACTGCTGATAAACATACTTGTATATTTCTAAATACATACATGTATTATAGACAACAATATTTTTTATTTCTTTTATTTTATTTATAAAAAAAAACAGACACAGAACAAACGATCGTGCTCATCACACAGCTATTTCTTTTGGGTAGGCATCGATCCCACTACCTCTGACTTAGCCAGGATTACTTGCCACTACTTGTATATTTATATTTTATCGTAATATATATCGTAATATATATGCATTGACATTCATTATAATTTTAAATCAATTTTTAAAATAATTTACTAAAAATAGACTTGTTTCCATCGTAATAGATAGCGTGTACGATTTGCTTTGTTCTGCTTTGTAACCCAATGCGTGTCTTAAACGGCAGATTTAATTATCTAAATGTCAAATTCAATTTTTTTAAATTATTTTTCACTAGCTTTTGCCGCACCCGGCCGACTCCGCCTGCGTGTACGTAAAAAGCCTAGCCTATGTTACGTTATGTGTGTTAGCTTGCCATTAGTGAAATAATTTTTAATCGGTTTAGTAGTTTATGCGTGAAAGCGTAACAAACAAATAAACAAACTTTCACATTTATAATATAAGTATGGATTATTTGTTTTTACATGAAAACAGCTACAAGAATACAGCGAATATGATACAATCATGAAACAAATTAATAATGTAAAGATTAGAATGATTGCCTAAGGAATTAATTTGCTGTATTTTTATGGTTTTATCAACGAGATTTACTTGAACTTCACAGGTATGTAAAACAACCAATTGATGCGTCATTTAAAGTTGACAAGGGCGCAAATAAACCTTGTTGATAAAGATATTCATAATCCGTGGTAACAACATGAGTTAACAAATGTAAACTTTGATTTATTCTAATATTGACATTAAATACACGTGACGGCAGACACGCCTTATAATAATTTGTAATATATTTTTATTGAGGCTTATTATATTAATACTGACCGTAAAATAAAACTCAGCAAAAAATTAAATCATCATGATGGTGCATGATGATTTAATTTTTTGCTTATCACTAAAATAAAATACAAAAGTTTTATTTTTACTGCGATGCCGGACAATTGACTATAATAGAAATACTCGTAGTTTTCGCGTTTTTTGATAATAATCCAGTGATATTTCTTTTAATCATTGAATGCACCCTTAAAGTGCACACACATAAAAATATGGTATAAGTAAAAAATAATAAATACTAGATATTACAGATACTAAAAATAACCATCTCATGAATCAGTGCTGCTTGTAAGTATTTTCTAATTAGATCAATAAACTTTAGGAGCAAAACCATTCGCCTCTCAAAACTCTCACAAAAACTTGATTTGACATACCGTGAATATAAAAATCACTACTACGAGTAGGTTTAAAAGTTATAATATTTTAATATCTGTGTGCATATGTAAGGTTATTTACAAACGTTTTGCAAATATGTTAGATTTTCTGTGGTAATGTAAGTTTAAATGTAAATCCGTTTTTAATACTTTATGGCAATATCTAACTGTTTTTCAAAATCGTGTCTAAATCTTATTATGTTAAGTAAAGTAAAGGCTAAAGGTATCAGCGTATTATATAAACTACATAAAGAAAACAATCGTGAAATCACCTTACATTGTTTTGTTGTCAGACTTTGTTGTGTAGGCAAAAGTGAACACTAAATAATAAAATTTAAAAGTTAAATATGTAGATAAACTGTGTTTTGAGATTATTTAGAGCGAAAAATATATACTATTGTTATGTTTATCTCTGTTTAATGTTCGTTTTGTCAGTAGCAATACGTAATGTTCACTATCAAATTTGTTTAACAATTTGAATAATTAAATTACTAAATAACTAACGCATCGTATTTCTATTAAAATATTATTATTATAACAGGTTAAACAAATTTTATTTATTTAACTTTATTATTAGCCCGTTGGTCTAGCGGT